TGAAGACTTTGCATAGTTTGGATCAGACTGCCATCACTGGTAGATTCAACCGTCCCCTCTGGCAAGTGATTTGGGTGAAATCCAAAAGTCCCTCAGGCCTCCAAGACCTCTAACCAACTGCTGTGCCTGAATATCCCAGGATCATATTTTGAAGATAATAAAATTGTTTAGATATAAGAGTTTCATTGCTGTAGAGGCAATAATACACTAGAAGTGGTTGTTTCCCATTAAGACGGATTAAAGCATTAAACCAATAGTTATTTGTTTTAATCTTTAGTATCCACCACAGTATCTGTCGTCAATAATACATAAGGCACAGCTCCTAAGCTCCAGGAGCCCCCAGACTAACCATAATCACACATGAAAAAATAGGTCCTAGTGTGTATCTGTGCAGCGAGGGTTACTGGAACTCTGACGAGGGCAATTCTTGACCACTCGCAGAAAGAATTCTGGGTGGAACTGTGAAAAGCCTAATACACTTTAAAGCTGTGTGTAAGTGTGGGGATAGAGGAAGAACAAGATGGAGCGTACAAAACTGAAAAACATTTGAGAGTATTGTCAGTTGTTATTGAGGAGTTCAACTTAGTACCAGTAATAACTTGCACATATATGTTGCTTTATGGCTCATGGAACAACCCATATACTTCCTTTCATCTGATAATGCAGACCAGGTTTAATAGATACTGTTCCTGTATGTACACAATTCAACTGAAATGTTCAAGGCCGTGGAGTTAGTGAGAGGTAGAGTAAGAATCCATCCCAGGTGCCTAGGCCCCCAAACACTGAGCTTTCTAGGGCATTGACATTGCCCATGAGGTGCAGGCACACATGGGGAAGATGCTTCCTTGGAAAGCAGGGACACTGGATAAGCCTTGCTCAGAGGCTCTAGAGCCAGAAAGGGCTTTAGAGCAGTGTTCTCGATTCTGGCTCCACATCAGAAATACTGGAAAAGATGTTTTCAATGGCCACATCCATCCCCAAACCCAGGAATTTTGACATCATCAATCTGGGATGGAATTCCTAGCATCATCAATTCCTGGCAATGGAATTTCTAAAAAGCATCCCAGATAACTCCAACCAGGTTCGTGCCACCACTTGAGAGGTCCTTTATGGACCTGTCCCTGCTTGAGTCTCTCTTAATGTCTTTATCTTCCCAGACTAGGAGTAAAGTCTTTAAATGTACCCAGTTCTTATTCATCCTGGGCAACTGAAACACTGAAATGGAAAAATCAGGTGTTTGTTTTGAATAGTCTAATGGCGACTCAAAATCTTCTCATTTACATAAAAAAGAACTGAAGGTAGGTGCAAAGTACGGAAACACACCCAGGCAAACAACAGAACTTTATCTTTGGAAACTCTACTGCCCAGGTTGCTTTGGCAAAATCCCACTGCTCAGATTATTCCTTGGCAGTAGTTAAACCTCAAATACTTGATTTTGAATGGATTAGTTCAGAACTCCAAATGAAAATGCAGGGACATTTTAGAAAAGAGCCATTAAGCATAATCCCAGATCAGCAAGCCTGGATCAGCAAAACTGATTATCCTGCTGTTGAAATAAAAAACACAAAACACCGAAACAAAAGCAAACCAGAAAGAAAACCCCGTATGTTGGTCGGAACTTTTCCCATTGAGTGGAACAGTTACAGCAACAACCTTGCCTCCACCTCACCACAGCCCCTCAAAATGTTCATGTACACAGATGATGTGGACCCACAGAGGAACTCAAGCAAACCTGGAGGAGATTGAGGCCTGTGAAGAAAGCACAACTGGCCATCATTCACTCTGCTGAGATGGCTTAATAGACACCAGCTGACCACACTGAGCATCCTGGGCTCCTTTACTGATGTGGGCATTGATTCAGACACATGACTTCTTGATTCTTGTCATATCTAATCTAATAGAGAGCACAGAACATTTTCAACCCAACAGCAGATAATTGTAATGAAGTGATTCTGGCCAAGAGGGCCCATTTGTAATAATGAATTCAAATCAGATTCATGGAAGCTATAATTCAACCATAGTGAATAGCACCTTCATTTTCCATATCATCTCCTCTTCCAAGAGGGCAAAATAACTCAATATTCAAATAATTATTTTTACTTTTCAAGTAGCCCTATGAAGTAGTTATGAGGAAGATAATATTGCCTCACTTATAGAAAATGAGTTTCATCCACGTTCAAAACTTCAGTGTCATCTTTGGCACAGCACTTCCTAATGTCCCTCAGAGCAATCAAAGACCTGTCACAACAAAACTGATATCCCAAAGGAGGGAAATCATTCTTCTCTAAGCTGTGCAGTTTTTTCTCTGGGAAATTTAAAGGCAGACCCAGGTTTCTTGACTCCTTTGCTTTTCCTACTAGGTCTCTCTCCTCTTCATGGGACTTCATTCAAGATTTAAAACAGATTCAAGATACTTTGACCCAGGACAACCACATTAAAAGTGTTTTCCGTGTGATGGGCATGGGTATCATTCAGTGTTTTTTGGTGCATTCTAAACATGCAATGCGCTTGGAACACTCAGTTCCCAAGTAATGAATCCCTAATGAATGTCTTTAAGGAGACAAAAGAGTAAGAAACCATACTTAAGAATTACAACTTACACAGCAAAAAACACCACCAAATAAAACATGGTATATTTACCTAGGGTTAAAGCCACGGGCTTCCAGAAACGGAAAACATGGACTCTCCCTCGGAGTACTGACAAATCAGTTATTTGTTAAGATGGGCACACAGCACACAACTCTTAACCAATAGAGCAAAAGAGTAAAAACAAAAGGAGAGAGATGGGGACATACAGAAATTTGCAGACGATGTTTATGTTCTTTTAAGAAACACTGTGGTAGCAGTGAAATCAAAACCTTAAAAAATCAAGGAATAAGAAGACTTAAGTGATAAAGACAAAAAAGAAAGAAAATAATGAGTAACAGATGAACGTATACATTATGGGAGCATCTGATAAAAACGAAGGAAGAAAATAATAAAAGAGAAGATGACATGAGCTAAGAGAATGAGGATTTAAAGAGATTAAAATGTAGATAACGTGCTGAATTTCTCTATTCTGGGGTAAATGTATAGAAGAGACGCAAAATCAACATGAGACATGTGCTTACTTAAACAAAAATTACACCATGCAACCAGGTAACAGATAACAGTTATGCTAGAACATGTAAGTTATTCTTTTTCTCTGCAAAGAACAAAAAGCAACTATTCAGCTTTTCTTTTTTTATTCCCATCCCCATTCCCAAGCCCAGCTGCTCAACATTAGAACTGAGATCATGAAAACAGGCCAACAGCTAATAAAAAATTGGTAGATCGAAGCTGGCCCTCTGCTGGTGGAATCGTCTTCTTGCATCTCAGAAAGCAGAAAGCTCAAGTTTTCAAGCTTTCTGGTTTAATTTGGGGGGAAAGGAAGAGGACAGAGGATTTTGGAAAATTCGGGGCTCAGATCCTATTCAGTGCTAGACCTCTTAGCCCCCAGTGGCACATTAGATGGTAAAGAGGTGTGTGGCAGCATCAACATCCCTGAACACTAGTAATATTTACTGACATTTCCTTGGTTAACATGTATTATAACCTGTGTGCTATTCATATCTTTAAGCCAACTAGTCTACTGCAAATGCTTATTGGGAAATGTTCCCAGATTCCTCATGGAACCTTCTTTGAAGCAATGAAGTAGGGATATTACATTCTAGTCTGGGGCAGGCTGAGCGGTACCCACATGGCCAGGAGGACTTTTCCCTCACATCTACCATCTAAAAGGCCTCTCAATTCTCCTTTTTTCTCCATTTGCTTTGGGCTTCTGAGAAACAGCACACAGGGTTCTGGGACCTGTTCTCTAACTTAAAAAAAGATCCAGCTAAGTATCACCCCAAGTGGCAGAAGGCAACCTTCACCCTTGCGCTTAGGGAAAGAATTCTGGTGTCCCAGAGACCTGTCTTTCCTCCTCCAGGGAGAGGCTTGTCTAGATGCAGGAAAGGTTCCACCAGGAAAGCCAAGGGAGGAACAGGAAGAACTCCCACCCTCACACTCTCCTAGGAGAAGCCAGGCATTCTGGCTGCAGAATCTGGGTCAGGATGTTTTATTTTCACCATAACCATCAAAGTCATCGGCAGGGCAAATGCATTCGCCCTGTGTACATTGTGAGACATAGTTAAGCTGGGACGTCCCTGAATCTGTCTCCTAGGACCAGAACTGCCTCATTAAAGGGATAAAAGATGATATCTGCTGAGCTGGTGGAAAGTGGTGGCTGCATTTTTATTAAAGTCTCTGCCGCAGCAAGCCCAGTCCCCAAAGGTTCATATTCCAAGATTCTCCCCCTCTCTGCCTGGAGCATGCAAGTGATTCTCTGTAACTCATTAAGGTAAAACAAAAAGCTCTCCTATTGTGCTTTTCACATAGGACTGATGTTGTTGCATAAAAGCTACATGTTTCCTTTCCTTGGACCCAGCCTGCAAAAATAAAACTGCTCTAATAATTTACAATAGGGACCCTAGGAGCACTACACCAGGTTTGGCAGGAGTCCTGGGTCTTGAGAAGACTCACAACAGGCCGTGGCCTGGCACTGGTATTTGCACAGCCTTACATTTGAGGTGCATCTCTGATAGGGGCTAGCCTGGTGGCCCTGAGGACGATCCTGCCTCATCATGTACCTTCTGGCCTGTGACAGCCATCCAAGGGGCTCAGGCTAGCCACCCAGTGTTTCAAATCCATGCCCTCATGTTCTCATCTTGGTGCCCACGCAGGAGAGAATCTAGCCTGTCATGGCTTCATAGAACCATGGAGTCCCACACGTGGACTTCGAGGTTCACGCATAAGATCCTGGAGCGGCATAGACGGAGCACACGACAAACCCGTCCAGGGGCACGGCGGTCGGCACGGCAGCGCGCAAGCGGGCGCCCCTCGGGCCTGCACAAGGCCCTCGCGCTCCGGTCCCCCTCTCCCCACCTCTGCCCAGCGACCGCAGCCCAGGGGCCCGGCCCCGCGGAAGGACAGCTCCCTACCTGAGGGTGGCGCTCTCCCCCTGCCGGACCGTCACGTTGTCCATAGCTTTGGGGAAGGTGGCATCTCCGCTGCGCACGGGCACTCCTGTGGGTACAAGGAACAGCAGCCTGAGAGACACGACCACGAGGCACTTCCAGGGCAGGAACAGGTACCCACAGACCCCCATCCTCGACAGCCACAACTTCCCAGAACTCCGGCAGCCGCACGGTCCTGGTCCCCCGCCCCGCGCACCAGCCGGCTCAGGAAGCGGTGCGGGGAGGAGGGAAGGGGCAGAGCTCGCCAGGAGCAGGGGGACGGAGAAGAGAGGAGTCCAGGCTCTCCGGGGTCCAAGAATTCTTCCTCAGATCCTGCCTCTGCTTTCCAGCCTGGCAGAACCAGATGCCCCCTCCTGCATCCAAAAAGCGCTTTCTTGACGCTCCCCTGGGGAGGAGGGAGGCAGCCCGGAGGGGAGAGGAGGTAGCAAGGTGCGGGGATGAAGGTCACAGATTGCGCTTTCTCTGCCTCTCTCTTCGAGACGCTACTTTAAGATTCAGTTGGGCACGTTCTGCAGAGCTCTGGCATCAAAAGTTTATAACCCAAAGAAGGAGGCAAGTGTCTCTGACATGCAGAAGCTGTCATAAAAAGCCGCGGCTTCAAGGAGAGGAGCAAATGTTTTATTGGATCACACACGTGTACAGATGTACGTGTCCCCCAGCCCCAAGCCTCGCATCTGGAACCCCAGGCCGGCGGCAAAAAGTTCCAAGGCGGGGACGCGCAGCCGGCGCAGCCAGGGTCCTCCGGTCGGT